ACAAACGCTCAGTGAACGGCAGTTCACAGGTCCCCTCTTTATTCAAAAGCGAGCGAAGTGACCTAATTAAGGTAGAATGTAAACTGAGTATATTTATAGGTAGATAAGGCTTGGGTTTAATACAAACTATAAGTCACCTATAGAAATGCAATGTCATCAACCAATGGTTGGGTTTGGACGACCTTGGTACTTTGTACCAAATATCCCGGAGTGTGACGTGTCACACTTCATGTAACCAGGGTACACTTAGGGCTACGTACTCCGTTACACAACACGTCGCGAGCCACTGCACTAAGTCGATTACACTGATGTACCCCACAACGTGTTGCTACCTCTAGCACTACGATGTTAACAATACTTCCTGGTGGAGTTTTGAAGCAAGATATGAGTGCATCCACACAGCTATACTCCCTGTATATGAAATGGTGCAATTGATTTATATAGTCAGGCGTATTAACTAGTAGCAATGCCCATAAAGGCCGACTGGAACATGTTGTACCTGCATTCATCCAGGTCCGCCGTGGAAATGTGATCAGGGGTCAAGTCTGTAATATCTTCGCCCTGCTTGGTGCTCGTTGCGACCTTCAGAAACGTCTTGAACCACTTGACAACCAATACGCCGCAATTATGCCCGTCGGCTTGGTACCATGCAGATGAGCGTCGAATGGTCAGCGTCCAAGTTTTTTCAATCAGCGGCACCAATTTTCTCAGTACAATTGCTTCAACGTCGTCAAGATAGTCGTTTCTGTGTTTTGGGTCGTAAATCCAGATGAACTTGCTGCCAAAGTCGATAATTGCCCCACACCAGTGCTTAATATCTACATCAATATAGATAGGGACCAGAATAGCGCGGGTAGCTGCTACTTTGCTCATCACACACAGCTTCGTGTCAATCATTCGTGCTCGGTCAGCATCAATTTCAAAGCCGAGAAATACAGGATCCACCACGTGCACGTCTGAAAAAATTCTTCCATCTCGGACACGAATCCAAACGTCTACCATTTTTAAAGCCGCCACGAAAACACATCCATCACATAGCCACATCTCTCCTGCAAATTTTGTCAAGTCATCAAATTGTACGATAGTTTCCCCGACCTTCGATTTAAATGCCGAGTACATATTCATGGTGGGCACACGACTGGTGATTGCACGATGAGTTTCTGTGTCGGGTTTTGATTCAACCCATTTGATCAGCTTTTGGGCCGCCGAAATTTTCTTCTTTAGACAATGTCATTCGTACATGGTGTCGATATCGGCAAGAGAGAACGTTCCAATATCTAAGATTGCTACGATGATGTCGTCCGTCATGTGGAGGCATCCGTTCAGACTTTGACTGCTCACGAGCGATAGCATTCCATCCGGCTGTTTGTGATTTGTGCACGAGAGCGTCTGGAAGAACAAACTGGATACTCGATTCGACTGTTTTCGTCGTCCCTGGTGTAGCTACGTGTCCTTTGGGCCGCTTGAAGATGGCTTTTTCGTGCTGTAGCCGAATTGCACTGAACACAGGTCCAACTTTCTTTAGCGACAGGTTCTTTTGGCTTACACACTTCCGTAAATCAAACAGAGTAATATCGCCGTGCGTGTTGACCTGCTGGACAAGTGTCTTCGTCTCTTCATATTTCTTTCGTCGCTTACTTGCAGTATTCAGCACAATGTTGACTATTTTTTCATCGGAACCGCTCTCAAGATAGTCAAGGTTTAGCGTTCTTCTTGCTCAAACCGAAGGAGACGCAGGTATAGGAATTGGTGACGAAGTCAGATCAAGAGTAGCAGCCATTTCACCGCCATGCTCTGAACTGGTTGCTAGTTCACCAGTGTTGGTGATATATTCAACAATGCTTGTGACTGGCTCACCAATACGTTCGCCTTGTTCACACCTATTTTCATCCGGATCACCAACACTTGTGACACAATCACCAACGTTTGTGACACACTCACCATCAGCATCTGCTCTAGCGGCGTGTTCGCCATCAGTGCCGGCATGGCGCACTGGTGACTTGTCGTTTTGACGAGCAACTCTCTCCAACTCCGTAAGATAGTCGAGTCAAGCACGAAAATTTTGAGATCCTTTGTCGGTCACGACTTCTGCGATCCTCTGGCACAGGGAAACATCGACCGATATGTCTCATTATGACCGAGGACACCAGGAGGAAGAGCTACAAAGTCGTGGACGTAAAACTTCTGTAAACAGCTTTATCTTTAAAACAGTACTCGTTTGCTCACCTTGAACCATTGTCTTCACCACACCTCGCGTTCGAGCTGACGTAATTTTGCGAGCCTCAGCGTAGGAGTAGTAGACGTCCCATCCGACATCATGGTTGTGCGTCGCAATATGGGATGTAACCCGAACCTTTCCTTGACGTGGACAAGCACTGCATTCAGCTTTGCTGGGCACTCGATGGAGCGGATGTTGTGGTTGGTTCTTGACCCCTTTCCTCTGGGCTTGAACGCCCACCTGTGCGTACCGATAAGCGTCTCCGTATAGAACTTATGAGCCTCGTCGAAAAGAAATGCTGTTTCCCCCCGTCGACTTGACAAAAGCTGACGCTGTTGGTTGCGGTTAGCTACGGAGTTAGTAGAGCGAACCTTGTATAGCTGATGCGTCTCGTCCTGGTACCTGTTGTAGAGAATGTATATTAGCGCAAGAAAACCACAGGTATAGATCCACGAACACGTACCTCTTAAACTCTTCATGAAACACGTCCCAAGATGAAAACTCCCCGCTGAACTGGCTGAAAGAGACACTGGTACCTTCGCTATCCTCACTGTCGCTGGCATGGGCACGCCTATTCTCCTTCTGCGTGGACATCGCTCCTCGAGGGAGCTGCTTGCTCAGCGGAGAAGGCTGGGGCGGAGGGGGGATTTTTGAGTGGATAGCTGGAGTGGCACAAAATCTCTAAAAACTAAAAAATAGACAACTGTCCAGCGGTATCTCGGTAGCCCTAACTTAGCTTTACTCGCAGCAAATACACTGGTGAACGTAGACAGCTCCATAATAAAAACAAAAGTGAAGAGCTTCTCTTTCTACCAATTATCTTCGAATTGGATTTAGCGTACTACGCCATCGCCGTCGGGCGACGACAAAAGTCCGTCTGTTTTCACTATCCAGGATAAAATATAAGAAGTACACACGTACCCTTAAAAAACACACAGATTCCTGAACAATCGGCATTCAAATTCAAGAGATTGCAAACGAGCGGGTTGGGTACTCGACCAGATCGTTTGTACTTTCTGTGGACAAGTGCAACTCAAAACAGGGCTCTACTGCATCCCACTTTCCTGGATAGTAGTCCTCATTAGCCAGTATTAGTCCTGTCAGTCATTAGTCAAAAAGGGGGCTGAAGCAATATGGTCAGCGGAAACGCTCTTAAGGGGGAAGACATAAATAGAAATAAAAAAATGTGAAACAAGAGATACTTGAGAAGGCGGAGGAGACAGTAAAGGAGGTCTTGATGTATTTGGAGCAGGCCAAGCGCGGCAAGAAGCAGAAAGCGCGCTTAAACCCGTACGGAGTACAAAAATCACGGAAAATGAAGCACAGGAAGTAGCTTAAGCCCGTAAGGGACTCTGCCCGCGTGTACAATGCTCGGACCATGAAAGCTATGCTGGCTAAGGCTTACCTACTGGTACCGGGAGTTCGTGAAGCACTGGAGGAGTTCAGACGCCACCTTTCCGGCTATGCCATCGACCCACCACCTACGAGGTCATCGTCATTGACGACGGCGAATTTAACTCGTGGAGGACTTTATAAGTGAATGTGCAAAGAAAGAGGAAATTAAGTTTGGTGATCTTGGTGATTTAGGTCCCTGTGAGTGCGAGCGATACTGCTTCCGTGACACGTGCACGAATGCATTGGCAGGCGTGTTCTGTACATCGGAAAACAGCCCCCTGAACGGCCGCTGTTCCAACAGCATTTATGAATGCAAAGACTTAGAGCTGGTGAATCGTGACGGCGCTGGAACAGGAGTCCGTGCCACAGCCGTTCTTTGTGCGGGTTCAATTCTTGGTGAGTACACTGGAAGACTAACTACGGAGGACTTGGAAAACGAGAAGGGGCCTAAGCGCGAGTACGCGTTGGCGTTGCAGCTGAAAAGCACCCGGCGCAAGAGCGTGTTTATTGACGCAGCTCCTTGCGGTAATATCACTCGGATGATGAACCACTCTTGCGATGCTACGTGCCAGTTTGTTGAGGTTCGGAACCGCCGTCAAGTGAAGGTAGTAGTCGTGGCGAAACGTAGGATTGGTGAAGGCGAAGACGTCACGGTAGACTACAAATGCGACCTGTGGCTTACCTGTTGTTGTGGATCTCGCTGCTGTGTTGCTGGGCAAGCGTCACAAAAAAAGCGGCAGTTCACGTGAAAGCGCATTAAAATGCATCTCAATGATGCGTCTACCACCGCCGAAGACTACATATTGATGCTGAGATAGACAAAAAGAGAAGACGAAGGAGGATGGCGGGTAGAAGGAAGAAATGGGTACTGATACTAAACAAAATCGAAACTGGAGATCCTGTGTCGTTACTTTATAAAATGTTAGCTCCAAGTATTAACACCACAACGACCATAGAAACAGTAAGAAGCGTAGTGGTGAATAGCCACTTGCAGCGATGGCTAGAGCTATAGTTGAAGAAAAAGCGGTACTTGACAAGATTCAGCAGATGCTAATGGTGATGGTATCGTGTCGAAGCTATCTAAACGTCAGTATTGACCGTGAGAGTGCGGAAACAAATTATGATCTATACAGCTAGTCTACTGAAAGGCTAGTGCGTGAGCGTTGCTCTGAAGGCGTCCTGGTGGTACAGCGTGAGGTAGTGGAGACGTTGTGCAGGCATCTGGGCCTTCTCTCTCTCTCTTCGTCTCTTGGATGTTTCTCGGTAAACGATTGTGCGCTTCCCGGTAACACTCAGAAAAAAGCCCACTGTTGTGCATGGCAAAAAGTAAGTGAATGCACTGACCAAATTTAAAAAAGTATCCACAGCCACACAGCAGATTGACACATCAGCCCCATTCCGCCTGACGTTCAATCGCCATCCGAGCGTAGTTAGTTTCGAGCTGAGCAGACACAGCGATTCCCTCCTCTGTGTGATTCTTCCAAGGCACGAACATTCGCTCCGTTTTCTTGGTCACAACAAAATTTAGTCCTGCATGGGCCAGATGTTCGAGACCAGACTCAGGACCAAGAAACACTTCATATAGGTTGCCAGCTTTTTTCAGCTCGACCACGCGTCGTTTCAGCGACGCGCTTACCTCGATCACGTTTCGAAACTCACGACAACTCTCGGAGTCATGACCACAGAATGCGAGTAGTTGTAGCAACAGTGCTCCTAGCTTCAGTCGCGTACGCATAGTGTGGTCGCGCTTAAGGACTCTGTTGAGCTGCTCGGCGGGATTATTGGTAGCGGCAAAGCCAATTGGAGTGTAGAAGCACTGCCACCTATAAAATCTTCCATTAAGCCACTGCGCCATAAAATATTCACCAAACGCTCTCGTTTTCTCCGTTGCAGCCCATCGCTGTATGACAGATGTCCGACGCTCCAATAACTCTTGGGGATTGCGACTAAAGTGTAAATCATACACGTCGCGGGTGACACGATGCTTCACCAAATCTTCCAATCCTTTAGTGTGCTCCACCAACATAGCTACCACGTGGTAGAAGCACATTAAGTGAATGTAGTTTCCAAAAACACGTTAGCACGCGTTATATTGTGCATCGTCTCCATCACCCATCACGTACCACACAGGCAAGTGCTTTTTCACAACTACCTCGTACACACGTCGCAATGCCGATAGTACATTGAAATATTGAGGCTCTTGCTGCTGGGACATCACAAATAGTGCAACGAGGTGAAACGTACGGCACCGATCGGACACTCCACATACGAGAACAGGATAACCGAGGACAACGCGTAGATTTCACACTGTTTTTAGGTCAGATCACACAAATCGCATTGCCGCACACAAGACACCACAATATCACACACACGATTCGTGGAAACACACACAGGTGCGGGCCGACAACAAAAAAGCCAGACCAGCGCACGTACTTGCTGATCCGACACATCATTCTCCAGATCTGGCACACCAGTCATTTCTAAGCCAATCAGCAGCAAGGTTTGAAGGGTTGAACCGACGATATTCCATTTCTAAACTTGATCTTTGAGTGACAAGAGGCCTTTCGGGCAAGATGGTGCCGCTCGTTTGGATCGAGGTTGCCGATAACATGACGAAGGAGGAGGCTGACGAGTTCCTAGCTACTTTCAAGAGATATGTCATCACCAGGAGCAATTTGGAGTGCTGTAACATTTGTGAGGTCGCGGGGCCACACACAATGCGATACAGACTGCTCAGGTGTGGCTCGAAGAAGTGCCGCGATTCCCTTGCACCGGGGGTGAAACGTCTGTGGAGAGGGCGCGTGCTGATATGCTCGGTTTCAGGCGTTACATGCATTGCTGAATGTGGCAACCACACCAATCGAGCCCGGGACCTTGCGCCAACTCATTAAGCTACCGCACACAAGGGTATCATTCGGGAGGCGATTGCTCTGCATATTCATGCAACGCCTTCTCGCATTCGGCATTCGATGGAACGCAAGCTATAGTTAAGTCAAGATTTGTTACCGCCGCTGTCGATGGTGCAGAACTACACAAACTATTTTCGCAAGACGAAGATGAACAACAACGACTGGTTTGAAGACATAGAAACAATAATTCATATTCATGCCTACACGGGCTCAGAACCAGAAACGGCTACATTAACATTTGCAACAGACTATAGCGAACATGGACGCGTTTCGATAGGCGATGGTTCTGACAAGAAACCGTTTGTCGTGGGTACCACTACTAAGCGACTGCTGAGGCGTTTGGATAGACCGGCTCAGACGTTCATCTTTCACTTAGACGCTACCTACAACACGAATCAGCTCGGTTATCCTGTTCTCTTGTGTGGGGTGTCCGATCGGTGCCGTACGTTTCACCTCGTTGCACTATTTGTGATGTCCCAGCAGCAAGAGCCTCAATATTTTAAAGTACTATCGGCATTGCGACGTGTGTACGAGGTAGTTGTGAAAAAGCACTTGCCTGTGTGGTACGTGATGGGTGATGGAGACGATGCACAATATAACGCGTGCTAACGTGTTTTTGGAAACTACATTCACTTAATGTGCTTTTATCACGTGGTAGCTATGTTGGTGGAGCACACTAAAGGATTGGAAGATTTGGTGAAGCATCGTGTCACCCGCGACGTGTATGATTTACACTTTAGTCGCAATCCCCAAGAGTTATTGGAGCGTCGGACATCTGTCATACAGCGATGGGCTGCAACGGAGAAAACGAGAGCGTTTGGTGAATATTTTATGGCGCAGTGGCTTAATGGAAGATTTTATAGGTGGCAGTGCTTCTACACTCCAATTGGCTTTGCCGCTACCAATAATCCCGCCGAGCAGCTCAACAGAGTCCTTAAGCGCGACCACACTATGCGTACGCGACTGAAGCTAGGAGCACTGTTGCTACAACTACTCGCATTCTGTGGTCATGACTCCGAGAGTTGTCGTGAGTTTCGAAACGTGATCGAGGTAAGCGCGTCGCTGAAACGACGCGTGGTCGAGTTGAAAAAAGCTGGCAACCTATATGAAGTATTTCTTGGTCCTGAGTCTGGTCTCGAACATCTGGCCCATGCAGGACTAAATTTTGTTGTGACCAAGAAAACGGAGCGAATGTTCGTGCCTTGGAAGAATCACACAGAGGAGGGAATCGCTGTGTCTGCTCAGCTCGAAACTAACTACGCTCGGATGGCGATTGAACGTCAGGCGGAATGGGGCTGATGTGTCAATCTGCTGTGTGGCTGTGGATACTTTTTTAAATTTGGTCAGTGCATTCACTTACTTTTTGCCATGCACAACAGTGGGCTTTTTTCTGAGTGTTACCGGGAAGCGCACAATCGTTTACCGAGAAACATCCAAGAGACGAAGAGAGAGAGAGAAGGCCCAGATGCCTGCACAACGTCTCCACTACCTCACGCTGTACCACCAGGACGCCTTCAGAGCAACGCTCACGCACTAGCCTTTCAGTAGACTAGCTGTATAGATCATAATTTGTTTCCGCACTCTCACGGTCAATACTGACGTTTAGATAGCTTCGACACGATACCATCACCATTAGCATCTGCTGAATCTTGTCAAGTACCGCTTTTTCTTCAACTATAGCTCTAGCCATCGCTGCAAGTGGCTATTCACCACTACGCTTCTTACTGTTTCTATGGTCGTTGTGGTGTTAATACTTGGAGCTAACATTTTATAAAGTAACGACACAGGATCTCCAGTTTCGATTTTGTTTAGTATCAGTACCCATTTCTTCCTTCTACCCGCCATCCTCCTTCGTCTTCTCTTTTTGTCTATCTCAGCATCAATATGTAGTCTTCGGCGGTGGTAGACGCATCATTGAGATGCATTTTAATGCGCTTTCACGTGAACTGCCGCTTTTTTTGTGACGCTTGCCCAGCAACACAGCAGCGAGATCCACAACAACAGGTAAGCCACAGGTCGCATTTGTAGTCTACCATGACGTCTTCGCCTTCACCAATCCTACGTTTCGCCACGACTACTACCTTCACTTGACGGCGGTTCCGAACCTCAACAAACTGGCACGTAGCATCGCAAGAGTGGTTCATCATCCGAGTGATATTACCGCAAGGAGCTGCGTCAATAAACACGCTCTTGCGCCGGGTGCTTTTCAGCTGCAACGCCAACGCGTACTCGCGCTTAGGCCCCTTCTCGTTTTCCAAGTCCTCCGTAGTTAGTCTTCCAGTGTACTCACCAAGAATTGAACCCGCACAAAGAACGGCTGTGGCACGGACTCCTGTTCCAGCGCCGTCACGATTCACCAGCTCTAAGTCTTTGCATTCATAAATGCTGTTGGAACAGCGGCCGTTCAGGGGGCTGTTTTCCGATGTACAGAACACGCCTGCCAATGCATTCGTGCACGTGTCACGGAAGCAGTATCGCTCGCACTCACAGGGACCTAAATCACCAAGATCACCAAACTTAATTTCCTCTTTCTTTGCACATTCACTTATAAAGTCCTCCACGAGTTAAATTCGTCGTCGTCAATGACGATGACCTCGTAGGTGGTGGGTCGATGGCATAGCCGGAAAGGTGGCGTCTGAACTCCTCCAGTACTTCACGAACTCCCGGTACCAGTAGGTAAGCCTTAGCCAGCATAGCTTTCATGGTCCGAGCATTGTACACGCGGGCAGAGTCCCTTACGGGCTTAAGCTACTTCCTGTGCTTCATTTTCCGTGATTTTTGTACTCCGTACGGGTGTAAGCGCGCTTTCTGCTTCTTGCCGCGCTTGGCCTGCTCCAAATACATCAAGACCTCCTTTACTGTCTCCTCCGCCTTCTCAAGTATCTCTTATTTCACATTTTTTTATTTCTAGTTCTGTCTTCCCCCTTAAGAGCGTTTCCGCTGACCATATTGCTTCAGCCCCCTTTTTGACTAATGAATGACAGGACTAATACTGGCTAATGAGGACTAGAATCCAGGAAAGTGGGATGCAGTAGAGCCCTGTTTTGAGTTGCACTTGTCCACAGAAAGTACAAACGATCTGGTCGAGTACCCAACCCGCTCGTTTGCAATCTCTTGAATTTGAATGCCGATTGTTCAGGAATCTGTGTGTTTTTCAAGGGTACGTGTACGTCTAATATTTTCTCATAACCGCGCTGATTCGTGTTGTAGGTAGCGTCTAAGTGAAAGATGAACGTCTGAGCCGGTCTATCCAAACGCCTCAGCAGTCGCTTAGTAGTGGTACCCACGACAAACGGTTTCTTGTCAGAACCATCGCCTATCGAAACGCGTCCATGTTCGCTATAGTCTGTTGCAAATGGGAATGCAGCCGTTTCTGGTTCTGAGCCCGTGTAGGCATGAATATGAATTATTGTTTCTATGTCTTCAAACCAGTCGTTGTTGTTCATCTTCGTCTTGCGAAAATAGTTTGTGTAGTTCTGCACCATCGACAGCGGCGGTAACAAATCTTGACTTAACTATAGCTTGCGTTCCATCGAATGCCGAATGCGAGAAGGCGTTGCATGAATATGCAGAGCAATCGCCTCCCGAATGATACCCTTGTGTGCGGTAGCTTAATGAGTTGGCGCAAGGTCCCGGGCTCGATTGGTGTGGTTGCCACATTCAGCAATGCATGTAACGCCTGAAACCGAGCATATCAGCACGCGCCCTCTCCACAGACGTTCACCCCCGGTGCAAGGGAATCGCGGCACTTCTTCGAGCCACACCTGAGCAGTCTGTATCGCATTGTGTGTGGCCCCGCGACCTCACAAATGTTACAGCACACCAA